CACGTCTCCCCTGGCCCCCCCCCTCCACGGGAGGGGGTACAACGTCCCGTTTGAACGACGATCAGAAACGGGTCTCACGCGAGATGCCGTGGCGACCTTGCGCCGCGGCTGACGCAGGCCGCCAGCGCGGCGCGCTACATTGGCAACGGGGGCGCTTACGCGCGACCGCACGCGGGGAGCTTCTGCGCGAATGTGGGCGCAGACGATCACGTTTTCTTTCGTCGCTCATCTGAGAGCGGGGGGTCAGGAGCTCGAAGGGGGGGGGGTAGCACGAGCTGCTCAACGCACCTCACGGCGTTCAGAATCTCCACTTCCACCATCGGTCTCCTAGACAGGCTCCAGAAAGACCCCAACATGCTCGAGAGGAGGGCTGAGAGGCCCTAGGGTGACCGAAAGAGGCACCAACGCACCTACTCTGGGTTGGATATTTATCAGGGGGGGGGGGATTCTTCTCCCGGCTGAGCTTGCCCAATCCCGTCCCCATCCGTTCTCCTCCCCCTTCTCATCCTCCTCCTCCTCCTCCTCTTCCTCCGACCCCCCCTCCACCCAGTCCAGCAGGACGTGCCCCCCCCCCTCCCCCCCCGGATCCAAGGGAGGGCGATGATTGCCCCATCCACAGCAGACACCCAAGATCCTTGGAGAATATAGGCTCGGCTGCTTGTTCTGATTTCCGCAGCCTCGCCTCATCAGGTGGGCCTGTTTTTCCACCACAAACCACTAGAAGTAGGAGGGGGAGGGGGTGCTCCTCCTCCTCCTCCTCCGCCTCCTCCTCCTTCCCCCCTCCAACTTATGGTGGTGGTGATGGAAGACAGGCCCATCATCATCGCTACAAGAGAAGGCCCAGGGGAGCTCAAGAGGGCACCCGGGCCGCCCAACTGTGCCTCACAGGTGGCCCCCGAGGGCGAGGAAATGACGACGAGCCTGGCGCTATGCAAGGCTCCTGTTCCGACCGCCCCTCGACTTTATAACTCCGACTACGGCGGCTACTACGAGGAGGAGGAGGAGGAGGAGGAGGAGGAGGAGGAGGAGGAGGAGGATGAAGAGTAGAACGATGCGGCGGAGGATGAGGAAGAGACACAATATGCCGCAGCTGACACGAAACTAACACCCCACAGGGCCCAAACGGAGTGCCAAACAATGAAAAAAGGGCGCCCCCCCCATACAGTCCTGCCTCCTGCCCGCTCCCCCCCTTCCCCATGCCGCTACCTTCCCACTCATGGACACTGCATTACTCTCTTTGTCGTCATTCTGCGCGATTCCCTGATCGGGCAACCCGCCAAACCCAGAAAGCATTCGTACCGTCTACCCTTCGGAATTGGCAGAGCAGCGCAAGCCTCTTGAATAAAAGCAAGTGGCCGCCCGGAACGCATCACGGGTGTAGTGCTCCTGAAGATTGGCCAGCTCGTCCGCGTGCTTCGCCTCGGACTCACCCACCTGACTGGGGACAACAATATACACCCGCCAGAGAGCAACAGCATCCTCCGCCGCTTTCCTCTCCTAGGCTGCCGCCTCCATATCTTCCCTCGACCTCGGCAATCTCACATCGGCGACACACCAGGCTGCTGAAAAAAGCCTCTCCGTTCATCAAAGACCACCGCTGCAGCGAAGGGCTCGTCGCCAGAGGTACCCCAGCCGCGGTCAACCATGGCCCTCACGCCGAGCAAGAGGGCGAACTCGGGCAACCTAGAGGAAACAGAACCATGCACACACACACACACACCGATGTTGCCCAGGTCCATCCTGAGCCCAAGATCCGTGCATACGCCCTCCTGCCTTGGCCAGGAAGGCATGTGCACCGATCCTGGGGCCAAGGATGGGCCTGGCCAGGACCGGTGCATGTGCATAGTTCGCTTCGCCCGGCAACCACTGCGAGCGCGTCTCAACATGCGCGATGAAGTCGTAGTGGACGCGCGCGGGGGATTCGCACGACTCGGTGGGCGGCCGCCAGTGCTCGTCCGCACTGCCGCGCTTGTCCCTGCGGAGCTCAGAGGCAACCCATGCGGCAAACGTCGGCGGCAGCGACAGCTCGGCCCGCTTCTCGAGGTAGGCGCTGAGCGCGCGGATGAGCGGATTGCGCGCGACCAGCACCTTGAAGTGCGCCGACGATGCCCACACCTCGCGCTGCACCGCCACGGGCTGGTCGCTCAGGCGGCGCAGAAGCTTCCCGCTGGACCTCACGTCGAAATCGCGGTAGTCCTCTCGCGGCCAGGGAGAGGACGTGGGCTTGTCCGAGCAAAGGCTGCTTTTGCTTGAAACCAAGAGTATATATGTGTGTTGGCTAGCGAGGGCCCCAACCGCTGTGCATTGCGATCTGCGCGGTGCAATCTAGGTTGAACAGCAAATAAGGTGCAGACTAAGTGGTGCAATCCATGTGATGCAATCTGTGTGATGCCAAGGAATGCAATTCAGAGCAAAGCAATGGGAAACCATGTGACGCAATGCGAAGCCATGCCACGCAAAGCAATGCTATTCAAAGCAATCCCAAACAACGTAATGCAATGCAGCGCAACGAACAACAACACACAGCGGTAGAGATGAAACACCAGGCAACGCAACGCAATGCAAAGCAAGGCACACCACTACATAACAACAAACATCAAAACAACGCGATACAACAAATCGCACAACTCACAAACCAATGCGACGTAACACAACGCAATGTAATCCAACGCAGTGCGATGCTAACAATGGACAGCAACGCGAGGCAATGCAACACACGTGTAAGCACTGCAAAGCCACACCAAACGCTGCAGAACAGCATAAAGCAAACGCGGAACAAACCAACATGTCACAAAGTGATGCACATCAAAAAAAAACGCCACGCGATGCATGCGAAGCAACGCGGCTGTATACGAAACAACGCACGGGAGTGACACTTGATGCAACGCAACGCAAAATTCGGCGGTGGACAAACCTCCCTTCAATAAACCTCCCCTTAGTGAAAACGGCCCGGGACCGAAACCGACGGACCTGGACCCGCAAACACGACGGCCGCGACGCCCTCTCGCGAACCGACAACGGCCAACACGCTCGTCGACATGAGAGAGGGTAGGAGGTCTGTCAACCCCCGATTAAGCACGAACGCAAGGCCATACAACGCCGGGCCGCACTGCACCACAATCAGAGAAACTATGGATTCAGTTTGTGTCGGGGTTTCGGTTCTCTGCTATGCCTGGCGGCCCATAGGGGCCAGACGGATCGCGAGGAGGCGGATGAGGAGGAGGAGGAGGAGGAGGAGGAGGAGGAGGAGGAGGAGGAGGAGGAGGAGGAGGGGCCATCTTTGGTTCTCGCTGTTTTGAGCTGTCAGCTCAACACAGCGAGACACGCTGCAGCACAGCGCGACGCAGTGCAATATATGCGCGCGAGCGCGCGGCGGCCACGGGCGGCGACAGGCTGGCCGGACCACCACGGGCCGGCCAGGGGCTCGCGCGGGCGGCGGGGCGGCCGGCGGCGCCGCCTCCGGGAGACCGTGCGCGGGCCTCTCTGCGGGGCGGGTGCAGCCGCGGCGAGACGAGGAGCAGCAGGCCCAGGAGAATCATAACAAAAAACACTTGGGGAGGGCCGCCGTGGTAGCCAATGCCCTCCCCCCCCCCCGACCCAGACCTCCGCAACATGGGCGCGAGGAGGAACGTCGACGCCTTCCCCGTGACCGGACGGCTAGTCATCCTGAGTCGTCTTTTTTTACGGTCCTGGGGCCCCCGGCAAGGGCCACCGGAGGCCGAGCAAAGTGACCTGGTCGCGTTTTCTGCGAGGGGGTCTGGGTCCGACTCCCACAACCGCCCATCCCAGATCATTGGATACTGAATTTTGCCGGTCGCGATCGGTATCTACCGATCCACACTCCAAATCGGTCGCGACCGTTTTTGAAGCAAATCGATCGCGACCGATACGGGAACTTGAAGCAAAATCGGTACCGACAGATCTCGCCGGTCGACACCTGAAAAATCTGGCACCCAATGATCAGGTTTCCCCCTCCGCCCTTCCCCCTCCGAGAACCCCCGCCGCCCTCCCCCCTGCGATCCCTCCCCGACCCCCCTTCACGAGGGGATCTGGGTCCGATTCCCCCTCTGGCCTTCTAGAGGAGAAAAAAACAATAAACATGAACTCTCTTGAACTGGAGCTGACCCTCTCCCTGGCGCGCTCCGCGCGCCAGGGGCTGCGCCGAAGGCGCCGTCCGGGAGACGCCATAGCCGGGAAAGGTTTCTGATTTCGCCACGTGCTCGACGAATTCCCAACCTCACCCCTGCCGCCCATCAAGTTGCCTGAATCGTTGATCGGCGAGGGTAGGGTTCGAATCTCGCCGCCGACCTATCCCTGCCCAATAGGGGGCAACTAACTATTTATATATTCGGCAGCATTGTTGAAGAACTGGGGTCCCACCAATAGGGGTAACTAATTGGTTCTTTTCCGCGGAATCCACCGCGCAGCAACGACGACGACAGCTACGACTACGATTGCGACTGCGACCACGACTTCTGCCTCAGGAGCGCTCTCACAGAAGATCGCAGCTCAGGGGGAGGAGGAAGAAGAGGAGGGGGAGAGGGGAGGAGGAGGAGGAGGAGGAGGAGGAGGCGGAGGAAGAGATTTTAGAACCAGCCCTATCCACCGCCGAGTGAACCTGGGGGGGGGACCAAAACTAAAGACCTTTAGCGGCTACGTCACCCACGGGGTCCGGGTGGCCGTCGATCCGCCGCAGCAGCTTCACCCACCGGCTGCTGCCGTGCTTCGCGGGCACGCAGATGGCGAGGGCCTGCTTCGCCTGCCACTCGACGTCGACACCGACGACGACGACGACGAGTCCAATGACAACGACGAGGACGACGAGGACGACGACGACGACGACGACGACGAGGACGGCGAGGACGACGACGACGACGACTGCGACACGGACAAAGACAAGGACGAGGACGACCTGCTCCTAGCTGCTGCCGCTGCTGCTACTCCTCGCTTCTCCTCCTCCTCATTCCTTCTCCTCCCCGCTGACTCTGCCTCACTCGTCCTCATTGTTGTCCTGCGCTTCCCTCCTCCTTTCTTGATCCCCCACTTGCCTTCCTGTCCAGTCCTGCTGCTGCTCCTCCTGCTCCTGCTCTTCCTCCTCTTCCTGGGCGCTAGGTGGCATCAGAACCCATTCCTCCTCCTCCTCCTCCTCCTCCTCCTCCTCAGCCTCCTCCTCGCTGCTGCTGTCGCTCTTTAACCTCCCCTTTTTACTTGCTCCTCTCCCTCTCCTCTCATATTTCTCCTCCCTCCTGCTGTCCCTCCACATCCTCATCCTCATTCCTCATGATGCTCCCTCCCGCCCTCCATTCCCCCTCATGCCCTTCCTGATCGCCTGAATCGTCGTTTTTGCTGCTGCTGCTGCTGCTCCTCATCTCCGTCCCATCTTCCGGCTTCCTGATACTCCTGCTCCTCCTCTTTCTCTTCGTCTTCTCTGCCGCTACTGATCCGCCCTTCTCCTCCCCCTCCCTCGTTCTCATGCCTCCCTTCCTTCGGGGGGGGGGGGCGCCTCTTGCTTGAACTGACCCCAGCTGTTTGCAGCTTTGCGACCCCTGGGGCTCCCTGGGCCCTGAGAGAGGATGCTCTGTGGAGGCCTCCTGGGCTTCCCTGGAGAAGCTGGGCTCCGGAAGCCCTGAACCACAAAACCTTGCCATCGCTGCATAGGGTTCTTAGGTCGGGTCAGGACAGCACGGACACACTAGTCAAACAAGGTGCAAACATAGCCAAAATTAGCCAAAAGATACTTCTTACGTCCGCCGGCCTCCGCCAGCCTTCTGCCTGCTTCCGCCCGCGGAGGCAGCATCGCATTCATTCCTTTTTTTTCAAACGCTACTCCCATTCCCAAGGAAGTTTCGCGAGGGCACACACACACACACTACCGCGAACGAGCGCGGCGCTCCCGATCAAATCGGAGATGCCCTGAGACTGTGGCAAGGCTCGCGAAGTGAAGGCAGCTGTGCCTCTGCCCCGCGCCTCGCGCACCTTCGCCTCTGCAGAGGTGGCGCTGCGAGGGCGGCTCCCCCCCCCCCCCCCCTGGTGGAGGGAGTCGCAGGCCCCCAAACAAACGTGGCCCCATAACTGGCCCCCAGGGTCCCAAGCCCAATATTCCGCCACCTTCCGCCCCGGCATTCCGCCGCCCTCCGCGAGGGAGGAGGTGGCAGCGCGGGCCGCGCCTCCTCCTCCTCCTCCTCCTCCTCCCCCTCCTCCTCCTCCTCCTCCTCCTCCTCCTCCTCCTCCTCCTCCTCTTCCTCCTCCTCCTCCTCCTCCTCCTCCTCCTCCTCCGATAAAGATCTCCGCGGCGCGCGCCCACGGGGGATCCCGGCCTCCTCTGCCCCGCGGAGCGGCTCTCCGTATCCCCAAGCGTCCCTGGTGCACTGCCCTGGCTCGGCGCCTCCGAAGGTTTTTATGTTTTGCAACCGGTGTGCGCTCGGCAAGCCGCGGCCGACCTGTGGGGCGGGCGAGGGCCTCGAAGGAGTTCGCCGACGCGCTCCCGGGGGAGGCCCGACGAGGCAAGCGCGGGACCCCCGAAGCCCCGACGACGCAGATCGCAGACCACACCCTGGCGCAACCGCACCCTCTGTAGTCGCCGACCTGGGGCCAGGAGACAGCCTCCGCGAAGGCCGACCACGACAACGTTGAACAAGTGGCCATCGCGTTTGCATGTTTGGCGCCCGTATATGAGAGCCCCTCCCTGCCTATGAGACGTTACTCCATAGATTCCAGCAGCCTGACTTGCATGGAGGGGGGAGGGCGTGGCGAGGCCCGAAAACAATCTACACTTCACGCATTTCTGGTGGGACTCGCTTGCAGGCATTTTCGGCCTAGCGCTGTTTGAAAAGGCGGAGGAAGACTAGAAAGGAATGCCATGGGGATGGGGGGTATGCCGTGGGTGCTAGATGCGATGTATGTACACGCGCCTGAGTCTAGCTTGGATCTGAGGGTCGCTCCCTCCCTACGCTCCCCCTCCACCACCTCTTCCCTCCTCCTGCCTACCCATCTCCTCCCTTCCCGTACCCTCCACCTCCTCCTCCTCCTCCTCCAGCACTTCCGCTCCCGCCCTCCTCCTGCCCTCCCCGTCCTGGAGTCCTCTTACCTCCCCCCTCCTTTCAAACCCTGCCCCCCTTGCCCTCCTCCCCTGCGCCCCTAGGGGAACAAAAAAGTCACATAAACATAAAAACTCGGAGGGCCGCGCGGATTTCTCGGATCGGCGCTGGATCCCCCCCCCCCTGGCGCGCGGAGCGCGCCCCGCGCGGAGCTCCGAGCTTTTATGTTTATGTGACTTTTTGCTCCCCGACCGCTGATGTTGCAAAGCCGCGGCCGAGCGTTCACCTGTTGATGTTGCAAGAAACCTCCTCCTCCTCCTCCTCCTCCTCCTCCTCCTCCTCCTTCTCCTCCTCCTCCTCCTCCTCCTCCTCCTCCTCCTCCTCCTCCTCCTCCTCCTCCTCCTCCTCCTCCCCTCCCTCCTCCTCCTCCTCCTCCTCCTCCTCTCCTCTCCGTCTCCTCCTCCTCATCATCATCATCCTCCTCCCCCTCCTCCCCCTCCTCCCCATTGCCCTCCTCCCCTGCCCCCCCCTCCCTCCCCCCACCCCCCCTCGCCGTTCGGTGCAGGGTCATGGGCGTCTGCCGGTACAGCGGCCGCGGCCAGGAGTCGCGCCTCTCGGGGCGGGGAGGCGGTCCGCCGAGGAGGGGCTCGGCGGCGGGTTGCCCTCCGTGCGCTCTCTGCTGCGGGGCGCACGGGGACATACGACTACTAGATGTCCTCCTTGGAGGCGCGCGTCCGACCCGGACATCTGGTAATGCGGGATGTCGATTCATTAAAAAATGAAACAGAACGATTAAAAAGTAGTCTTCTGCTATGTCTGTACAGTTTTCTGACTGGAGGAGAACGATTTAAACGTATCCCAGCAAAGCGACCTAACAGCGATGTGTATAAGGATATCTGGAAGCATTCCCCTGAAGATTCAGGTGATAATCCAATTGTAGAATTCTGCTGTTCTCGCATTCGCAGTCGCATTCGCAATGACAGTCGCAGTGGCAACGGCCTTAGGATCCAATGGAATCCTAAGGATCCCCAGGGATCCCTCAAGCATCCTTAGGTATCCGTAGGAATCCGTAGCAATCCTTAGGAAACCTTAGGAATCCTTAGGAGTCCTGATTCCTAGCGATTCCTAGGGATTCTTAAGGATTCCTGGGGAATCCTAAGAATTCCGAAGGATTCGCCTGCCTCGGCCTCAGCCTCAGCCTGCCTCAGCCTCAGCCTGCCTCGGCCTCAGCCTTAGCCTGTCTCAGCCTCAGCCTGCCTCAGCCGCAGCCTCAGCCTGCCTCAGCCTCAGCCTGCATCAGCCTCAGCCTCAGCCTGCCTCAGCCGCAGCTTCCCTCAGCCCCAGCCTGTGCCTCAGCCTCAGCCTCAGCCTGCCTCAGATTCAGCCTCAGCCTCAGCCTGCCTCGGCTTGCCTCAGTCTCAGCCTCAGCCTGCCTCGGCCTCAGCCTCAGCCTCAGCCTGCCTCAGCCTCGGCGTCAGCCTGCCTCAGCCTCAGCCTGCATCAGCCTCAGCCTCAGCCTCAGCCTGCCTCAGCCTCAGCCTGCTGCGCTCCCGCATACTCCTGCGGCCTCAGCCTGCATCAGCCTCAGCCTGCATCAACCCCAGCCTCAGCCTCAGCCTCAGCCTGCCTCAGCCTCAGCCGCACCTCCGATGGCGCCGAGGTGGCTCCTGTGTGTACCTGCACCCACGGAACTCACCTCCGATGGCGCCGAGGTGGCTCCCGTGCGTACCTGCGCGCACGGAACGCTTCTCCGATGGCGCCGAGGTGGTTCCCGTGCGTACCTGCACGCACGGAACGCACCTCCGATGGCGCCGAGGTGGCTCCCGTGCGTACCTGCACGCACGGAACGCACCTTTGATGGCGCCGAGGTGGCTCCCGTGCGTGCCTGCACGCACGGAACGCACCTCCGATGGCGCCGAGGTGGCTCCCGTGCGTACCTGCACGCACGGAATGAACTCCGCCAGATTCTCCCGGTTTCTGCCGGCTTCCGCCCGGACCCCCCTGGAGTGTCATGATGCTCTCTCTCTTTTGACCCTACTAGAAACCTATCAGCACAAGCTGTTAGGTAAAAAATAATGTTCCAGCCCGCGGCCGGTTTTTTCTAATCGTCATCCCGGGCGCCGCCGCGTGAACACGAACCCCGGTCATTTATTAATCGTCATCGTCCATTACAGGGAAGTTTTTAATACATAGGACCTTTGAACACATCGCTAAAAAACATGATGGCTGTATATAAATAGATGTATGCATGAACTCATCGTTGTTTTCCATACTAAATCCCTACATTTAAAATGCATGATCCGCACGCGGAGCATGTACTAAAAACGGCACTGTACACCCATCTTGTAGTATAACATCGTTTCCTGAGCGGTGTGGCCAACAAAACGCGCCCGCCACGTCGCAGATACTAGAAGATTTCTCGGTGCGCGCGTCGCCCCCAGGGGGGCGACGCACGTATAGTATGAACCTGTTGGGGTGGCGCCGATGCCGGATCCTGTTTGCCACCCGCGGCCAAGGAAACCGATCCGGCCAAGGACATCGATCACCGATCACGGCGCTGTCCCTCTTCATGCCGCCCCAGGGCAGGCGGCGGGCGATGGATGGGGGGGGGGCTGGGCCGTCCGAAAGCTGGCACAATTTAGTGAGTGGTCAGTGGTCACATGAGAATCCGTTAGTCGTGCATACCGATTGCGCACATTTCCCCCGAACAAGACATGGACAAGTCGACAGCACCGCCCGTTGCCGAATGCACGCCCCCAGTGGAAGCACCGAGAGATGGCCACCCCGACGCCCCGCAGCCCAAAGTTGGCGGACGACCTCGAGGGAAGGCAGCGCGGAGTGTTGCGAAGGAGGCGCCCGCTTTTGCGAGGGGCCCTCCGCTTCTGTCTCCGTCAACTTTGGCGTGCGGCCTTCTCTCTCTCTCTCTCTGCCAGCAGTGATGCACGGACGAAGAGAGCTCGGGCCCACGCAGTCGGGCACGAGGGGGAGGAGACAGCCGCGGCCAGATGACGACGATGACGACTGTTTGCCACGGCATGCGCTCTCTGCGTCTGCCAGCCTCGCGCCACGCGGAGCGGGCCTCCGCCGCCGCAGCACCACCGCGGAAGCGGCGGCGGGAACGTCGTCAAGCGCAGGGGGGGGGGCCCTCGTGGGCCCGAAGAGGGTGGGCAAGTTTGACCCAGGAAGGCTTGAACCCCAAGTGGGGCAGTAGAAGAAGTGTATACATATATCTATAAAGAGAGAGAGAGAGAGGGAAAAAGTAAAGAGAGAGAGAGAGAGACACAACAACGAAGAGAGATGGAGGGAGAGGAGGCAGAAGCAGAGGCCGAGACAGATGCAGCGAGATGGAGCCCGCACATCTCACGGGGCCGAGAAAGCTCAGAGCTTATAGCAAGCAACCGAGCTATCAAGCTATCTCTGCCAGCAGTGAAGCACGAACGACAAAAGCTCGAGCCTCTGCAGTGAGGCTCGAGGAAGAGTAGGCGGCCGCAGTCAGCTGACGGCGATGACGGAGGCTTGCCACGAAGTGCGCTTGCCGCGTCTGGCATACTTCGCGGGACCAACTCCGTAGGGAACCCGGGAATGTGAGTGGGCGGCGAGGTAAAGAGGTAGTTAGACTGGCTTGACGTCAGCAGGCTGGCTCCCTGCCCGCCCGCAACCCTCGGCTCCGATGCAGGCCATCGCGGTGTCACCTCCGACCCACTTCGTCTTGCAGGCCGCGCAAGGGAGAAAGAGCAGTGCTCAGGAGCAGAGGGCCTGGTTGGATCCAGCAGGGAAGATGATTCCCCGCGACTCCCGGGCTAGGTCCTGCAGTAGCGACTACAGGCGGTCCACCGCCATACCGCGCGAAGAAACTCAAAGTCTAAAAAAACACTAGAAACTCGATGCCCAAATCTACGAAAATCTCAAGCTCCGAAAACATGAAAAAACTATAAGCCCAAACCTGCGAAAATCTCAAGTCCACCAACACATCAACGCATCTCGAAGCCAAAACCTGGAATATCTCGAAGCCTCAAACACATCGAAAGCAGCACAAGCCAAAGCCTGGGAGCATCTCAAACTCTGAATATCTAAACCAAAGCCTGGGGAGCAAAACTCAAACCAAACGAACACTTGAAAACGAAACTTTAAGTCAACTAAACACGCAGAACCGATTCGGGGAGAAACGAAACGCTTAACAACTCTTGAAACATCTGGAACATTCTAAACGCGTGAGAACGTTGAACAACTGTTAAACAACTCTAAAGCAACTCTAACAACTCTGACAGTCTCTGCCGCCAGACAAACTCTTAAAACAACTCTGGCACATACCACGCGGCCTCGGACAATCAAAACAACTCAGAATAATATCTAAAACAATCCGACCGTGTTGTGTTACGGTTTGAAGCGCGCGTATGTTTTTCGATGTCTCAGCGTCAGGTGTTTCTGGATTTTCGGTTTCAAGTTTTCTTCGGGGGTCGAAATTGTTCCATGTTTTGGCGTGCAGTTGTTGTTTGGTTGTTTTTTTTTGGGGGGGGGGCAGCTTTTTGGTTTAGATATTGTTTCTTCTAATTGTTTTTTTGGGGGGTTCGAGTTTCCTGCTGGAGATGTTCCCGAAAGATGCTGTCTCGGTGGACCTCCTGTATTAGAATTGCCGAACCTGGCTCCAAGGCGTCGAACATGATCCTGAACGACTCCAGGGCTTCGCCCCGCTCCCGCCACGCAGGCGCGACCTCCTCCGGGGCACCGCGAGGCATGGCCCCTCGGCCCCCCGTCGACGCCCAGCGGGCGGTCGAGGGCGGGCAGCTCGGGCTGGCGCCTGGCTGGGCTGCGCTACTGAATTTGGGGCCGCCCTCTGAGCTCCCACACTCGGGCAGGGCGAACCGGGGGGGATAGCAAAGGGGGGGGGTGAGAATCAGCTCGCGTGGCTGACTTTCCGAGCGCCTCCCGGCGCGGGGAGGCGCCCATGTAGCGAAGAATGGGCTCGGCGACGGGACCGAAGCCAGCTGCGTGCAGCAGATGTCGTACCCCCCCCCTTTCCTATCTCCCCCTTCCATTCGGCCCGATCCTACACGAGTTTGTCGGGCGCGCGGCGACTGCCTGGGGCGAGTTCCAGCATCGCGAGAAGGTAGCCCGCCTTGACGCAACTGGGCTCGGGGAGCCAGGTGGCTTTCGCGTTGAGGTCCAAGTGCGGCTCTCGAGCGACTTGTTCTGGGGCGAGCTCGCCTTCCATTGAGCAGGGACCGACCGTCTTGGTAGGTCTATAGGCCTACCCCGACATGCTTTTAGAACCCGAAGCTGTTCTAAGAACCAAAGCCATGTTCTTAAAACGTAGACCCGACGTCTTAAAACCACACCGTCTCAGCCAGGAATGCTCGAAAAACATTTCGTGCAGGCCACACAAGGTTCTCATATGATTCTTTTTTAAGCCCACAGGCGAGCTAGGACGATTCGCCACTGCTTGATTCCACGGACAACTCCCCATTCGCTGCATCCTTCCCCCAGCAGCACCGCGGGACCTCGTCGAGCTCCGCGCCGAACAACCACGGTTGGATCCCAATTATCGGCTCGCGGGCCACGGCGTCGTCCATCAGCCGCTAGTTGACGACGTCGTTCTGCAACTGCTGCGGCGTTCGCCGCCGCCCGTGCCCTGCCATGGCGGCACAGGCGAACGCCCTGCGCTCGCCGGGCGACCTGGCCCAGCCGAACACACGCACCGCGTGGATGAGGACAACCTTTCCGCTGACGCCCACTGGCTCCCCTGGAAGGGCAACGCTGGACGCTGGAACGGCCTCGGGGGCGAAGTGGCGCCACTTGAACGCGCGGGTCACGCCGCTCTTCGAGGCCAGCCGCTGGACGCTGGAATGCCTCGCCACACACCACAGTGACAGGCGAGCTGGCCCTTTGTGAATGGGCTGCTTCGCCAGCGGGGGGACCTGAGGCGCTGGCTCCCCTTTCGTCGTGGATGGGGCGCCCCTCTACTGACAGGGTTTGATTTGGGGAACATCGGCACGCGGCCTCCAGGGCTCTCGACTACTGTCAGGATGCCCTCCACATCGTCCGACGCTCAAAGGACAGCGCCGAAGCGCGAGTTCTTCCACGCCTTCTGGCACGTCTCTTCGGCGCGGTCGACTACCCAGGCTTCGAACTTCGCCTTCGCGCGGGCCCGCGGGGTGGTCTGGCGGACGGGCGTGCCCGTCACCGTCACTGCTTCGAGGAAGGCCGCACGCGAGGTGCCCAGTGCTTCTTGCACGTCAGGGCCCGGACTTTCTTCCAGCGGGTTGCCGTGGCATTGCCCCCTGGCGGCCATGGGCGCGCGGGCCGCCTCTGCGACGCCTCCGGTCGCGCGCGGCAGCCAATTGCCTCTCATAGCGGCTTCCTCCAGGAGCTCGGGGCGGGAGTCGGGGTGGGCTGCGCACCAGCTGCCGCACGCGTGAGCCTGCCGCTTGGCGGCCGTGAACGTGGGGGCTGGCGCGGGCCCCCGCAGGGGTGGGCCGCTGATGCCGCGAGGCGCACCGGGCGGCGCCCGCTTCGAGGGCGACGGCACGAGCATCTTTGGGGGCATGCCCGGCGGGTGCCGCCTCTGTCCTGACTACCTACCAAACCACCCCAACCCAACCCGAAGACTCGAATTTCGGGTGGGGGGGGGGTACGGGCTTCATATGTGGTTTCTCGATGTTCCCCGCCCCCCCCAAAATGGAAATGGAGGGCAAATCGGGGCCTTCGGGTTGGGTTGGGGTGGTTTGGTGGGCGGTGATGTCCAGGGGGCGGCCCGCGAGGAGCCGGGGCCGAGCCTGGCCTGCCAGCCGCTCTGGCCGGGGGCGGCTCGGCAGCCGGCGCGGACCCTCCCACCGGGCGTCCTCGCGCAAGGTCCGTGGCGTCTCCCCGGAGCCCTCCGTCGCCACGGCAAGGGTCGGAGCGCCCCTCGGCCGGCAGCTCCAGGCGGGGCGCGTTCGTAGCACTGCTGAGCAGAGCCTGGCCATCGCTCGGACGTCCTCATCCTGTGCTTTTTTCGGTCTCGTGCGTGGTTTTGTCGCGAAATGACCAAGGATGCTCGATGGACCTCGCCGAAGGAAAAATATGCACACGTCCGAGCGATGCCAAGGAGCTGCTGGCGGCTGCTCCCGCTGGTACAGCTGCCGCGGGGCGCGCCGCCGCGTCCTCGGGCAGCGGGGCCCTCCTCTCGCGGGCTGCTGCCTATGCGCCGAGGGAGGGGACGCCGAGCCTCCTCGCTGCGGCCGCGCATCTTGTGAAATCTTGCAGTTGCAGCCCTCCAGGACGAGGCGCCGCACCTCGCGCGTCACTGACTACCTACCAGAGCACCCCAACCCAACCCGAAGACCCGAATTTCAGGTTGGGGGGGGTAAGGGTTCCACATGTTTTTTTGTCGATGTTTCCCGGCCCCCCCCCCACTGGAAATCGAGGGCAAATCTGAGCCTTCGGGTTGGGTAGGGGTGGTCTGGTGGGTGGTGAGTCACGCCGCTCTGTTGCGCGAAGTGCGCGAAGATATAAAGGTGCAGCCGACTCTCGCGGCAGAACGTTTCCACCCCGCGTGCCTCCGACAGGACACGGCGAACTCCTTCCGGGAAGCGGGTGCACTCTGGAGGCTCCTCAACTATATCCGCGGATGATGGATGGGGTGCCGGCCGTCGCGGCACCGGAGCTCGCCCGCGCTCGGTTACTGGAGCGGCCTCAGGCCCAGGAAGGAGTCGAGGTCGGGAGGGGCGCCTGCCGTCACGGCGCCGGAGCTCGTCCGCGCTCGGGTTCTGTAACGGCCCCACGTCCAGGAAGAAATCGAAGTCGGTTTCCTCGCTCTTCCTCCGCTGCTGCACTGCGGAGACGGCCTCCAGCGTGGCGCCCCTAATGCGCACCCAGGGCGGACGCAGAAAACCGGCCCCTGCAGCGGATCCTCCTCCTGCCCGGGTGCTGGTGGATCTTGCGTGGGCGCCTCGATCTCGTGGGCGCTCGGGGCGGCTGGGCGAGCAGCGGGCCCGAGATCGCGCTCGGGTTGGAGGCCCCGGATCCCCATCTCGCGCTTCACGGTGACGAGCACGGCCAGGTCGCCCTCGATGATGGCCTGTTGCTCGCGGTTGGGGCCCCCCCGGGGCCGGAGTGACCCCCTCGCTCATGCTGCGAATGTCCGAGGCCAGCATGGCCCTGGCTCGCGCTCGTGCCGCTGGGATGCCAAGCTTGCCACTCGTGACCTGTTGTGGCTTTCCGTGGCGGGGGAGTGCGGGCGACGAGTGCGAGCGCAGCCCAGACACTGCCAGCATGTGTCAGGTGTGGAGGAGTGGAGGGTAGAGAGGGAGAGAGGAGGGGTGGTGGAGGCTCCTCCTCCTACTCCTCCTCCTACTCCTCCTCCTCCTCCCTCTCCTCCGCCTCCTCCTCCTACTCCTCCTCCTTTCATGCTCCTCATGCTGATGCCGTCCCTCCTCATCTCGTTGTCTTGATGGTCCTTCTGCCCCCGATCCTTCGCGCAAATAGTACATCGGCAATGGATGCCGATGTGGCGATCTCGATCTGACGCTCTGGTCATTGGTCCCTGCCACCGCGCGGATCGTTGAAACTGCAATGATCGCGGCTGTCCCACAACGAGGATCGTAGTATCTCCTTGCGGCCTTCCGGAATGGTCGTTTACCCGATATCTTAAAATCGCGACAACCGTTGACTGCAATCGCGGCTTGACGATCATCGCGGCTTCCCGATAAAAGGCGATCGCGGCTCTTCCGATGTCGGCCGCTACCTGGCCACCAGCCGCGTTCATCCTTGAACGCCAACGCTGCGGCCGCCACCGCGTCGGCACGAGACGAAACATAGCCGTACTCACCCTGCAGTGACCACCACCCGCTCTCCTCCTCCTCCTCCTCCTCCTCCTCCTCCGCCTCCTCCTCCTCCTCCTCCTCCTCCTCCTCCTCCTCCTCCTCCTCCTCCCCTTCCCCTTCCCCCCTCCTGCTCCTCCTGCTCCTCCTCCTCCTCCTCCTCCTCCTCCTCCTCCTCCTCCTTGGTCGGGCGAAGTGATCTGAGCGTTCCACTGCGCCTGGCCCGGCCCATCCTAGGCCCAGGGGCAGTGCTCTGCCCCCCTGGTGACTTGGCCAGTGCGGCTTCGCGAGGCTCACTGGCGTACCCATCCAGCCGGTTTTGCGGGGGGCGATGCCGTTCGCATGTGGGGGGGGGGGGGCGGGGCGGAGCCCTGGGCCCTCTTCGCCGCTCAAGGGCCCGCTCCAGGGCCCAGGATGGGCCTGGCCAGGCACAGTGGATATGCACAGATCACATCGCCCGACCACGGAGGAGGAGGAGGAGGGGGAAGGGGAGGAGGAGGAGGAGGAGGAGGAGGAGGAGGAGGAGGAGAGGAGGAGGAGGGAGGGGATGAGGAGGAGGAGGAGAAGGAGAAGGAGGGGGAAGGGGAGAAGGAGGAAGAGGAGGAGGAGGGGGAGATGACGGGGGATGAGGAGGGATGAGGAGAGGTTGGAGAGAGGAGGAGGAGGAGGGAGGAGGTGAGAGGAGGAGAGGAGAGAGGAGGAGGAGGAGGAGGACCGCATCCGACGAAGGCCAACCGCACTTCGGGCCGCCCTCTGCGCCTCTCGTACCACTTCCGCCAGGCGGGCTCCAGCAGGCCCGCGGGCGCGGGCGCGGGCCCGCTGGGGGCCGGCGGGTCCTGCGGCGAGGGACGAGCAGCAGGTAGGAGGACCAGGAGGAGGAGGATGAAGGAGGATGAGGAGGGAGGAGGAGGGGTTGGAGGAGGAGGAGGAGGAGAAGGAGGAGGAGGAGGCGGCGGAGGAAGAGGAGGAGGAGGGTTGGAGAAGTTGGAGGAGGGGTGGGCTCCTGGCAGCTTTGGGGGCCTTCCTGAGAGCGAGGGAGATCGTGCTCGTTCCAGCGAGGCCGACGAGAGGATGCTGCTGGTAGGTTCCGGCAGATCTGCCCGCACGGAGAGCGAACTCCGCCACATCTCGGAAGGTCTGTGCTTGCACGGAACACGGATGGGGGGGGCCTCCGCCGTGACAAGCACGGCTGCAGGGCGCTCACAGGCCCCGAGGCCCACTTCACCACAAGAAGGCGAACGATTTGTTAACACCATTTCTGTGCATCAGGCGGCAGAGCATATCAATTTGTGGTGAGGTGCGCCAAGTAGTTCTTGGCGCTGCAATTTCAGCAGTGTTTGTGGCCGCACATGCCTGCCAGGAAAAGGATACCAGGAAGGATAAGGGCCTGGCGAGGCCCGAACGGAAATCTGGACCTCACGCAAGTCGGGGTCGATTGCTTGCCTTTTCTGTCCAGAGCTGTGTGAAAAAAGGCGGAGGTCGGCGGGGTCTGAGGAGATACAGCCACGTTCCAGGGTAGACCCGAGATGGCAAGGCTAACTCCAGCTAGAGTGGAACTGCACGGCGCCAGTGAGAACTTCGTGGACGTGTGGCGTGAGGAGGAGCTCGATTTCCACTGGAGTTGCATTTCGGCTTGTACGTCGATGTGCATTTCGAGTTGCATTCAGCCTTTCGACTTGCAAGTTGATTCGCATTTAGAACTGCATCTCCAACGGAGCAATCCACGGGACAGTCCACGGGACAACTCAGGGGTCGACCCAAGAGACGATCACGGGGACACCCCTGGAACAACCCTCGGGACAACCCGCGGGACAACCTAGCGGACAACGCAGGGAACAACCATAGGAATACAACAAACGGGGAAAACCCACGAAATAACACACGGGACAAACCACTGGACAACCAAATGACCGACAACCAAGGGACATTCACAGGGCCCACAGGAGCACCGCAGGACAAACACGAGGAGCCATCGCGCGACGGGGGCACGACGTTGTGATTGTTGCTCGACTTGGCCACCGCTCTGGCGCTTTTTTCTCCTCGCCCACACGTGTGACGCGGACCGAAACACAAACCGACTCCTTGGTTGGGGTCACTTCTCTCTCACCCCGAAGCGTCCGATAGTAGTACTTACTTGAGCTCCAGTTCGGGTGTTGCCACGTGGTCCTGGCCCAGCGTAACCCCAGGATGTGCCGAAAGGCTTGGGTTGATTAGCGATAAAAGCACCCACATCTTTGGGGGAGTGGGCATAAGTTAGGAAGGCCGCAGACATTGAGGGTATGGGGTCTTTTCTGCAGAAAACGAAAACCAAGCCGCTTAGGATGATCATCCCCACTGCAAACACGGGGGCGAAGTGAGGCCACGTCTTCACTGTGTCATCAGGGTCAGGTGGTTCTTCGTTCTCGATGATGGGTGGCCTCCAGGGATTCCCTCATGAGGCCCAAGGTGCCCCAGGGGCTCCACAATGAAGTGACAGGCGTGGGCTATACCTTGGGTCCACGCGCACCGTTCGGGGGCGCGCAAACATGGATTAGCGATCCATGGATTTGGCGCGCGGTCGCCAAATCCATCCATGTCTCGGGGGAGGCGCCCTCCCCAAAATACGGCCGGTGCCGCCTCGTTCGGCGGCGGCAATCCGCGATGTCCCATGGAAGCGGGGGCCGTCGCTGATCCACGCCCCCTTGATCCGTGTTTGCGATCGCCCGAACCGTGAGGCACGCCCGACCAACTCCCGCCACGTCCCCCGCGGGAGCGTCGGGGCGAGGGGAGCAGCAGCAGCAGCAGCAGCAGCAGCAGCAGCGGCAGCAGCAGCAGCAGCAGTAGCAGCAGCAGCAGCGGCAGCAGCAGCAGCAGCAGCAGCGGCAGCGACGGCCAGCATGTGAGCATCGGCGGGGCGAGGCTGCGCGGTCTTGCCGCCGCTGCTCCCTGCGGCGGCGAGCCCCGGGGGGGGGGGGAGGCGAGGAGGGGGCGGTCCGCCCCAGAAGGCTCCGAGGGCCTCGGGCCTTGCGATGCAGCCTTCTCGGCCTTCCCTGGGACGCAGCGACGCACACTAGCACTATACTGAAGGGGCCCCAGGACACACAAACAAATACACACAAATGAAATGATTCCCCACATTTCCCCATATTTTCTGGGGTTTTGTCTTCCCGCCCAATTCCTATATTTTCCCATATTTTCCAAGGGATCGACGATTAATTGTGTCTGTGTGTTTTTTCTCCTCCTGATATACGCCCTCCCTGGAGGCGCGCGCCCGACCCGAACATCTAGTAGACCGATCTTGAACCATAGCGTGTCCCGAGCGGTTTGGCCAGAAAACGCCCGCCACGACGCATAGACTGTAAGATTTCTTGGTGCGCGCGTCGCCCTCTGGGGGGGGGGGCGCCACACATAGCATTACAATGTTGGGGTGACGCAGACTCCCCAAAGACACAGAAAGCTTCTCAGAAGGCCGGGGGGCCTCTGAGAAGTTCCCGGGGGGCCTCTCAGAAGGCTGGGGGGCCTCTGAGAAGGTCTGCTCCTTCTCACTTTCCCCCAGGGCGCGCTGCCGATGCTTCCCCCCCTTCCGAAGACACACTTTTCTTCGACGAGGGCACCCGGGGATCTCTATCTGGCGGATTCCGGAAACCCTGAGAACAAAAATGCTGTCATCTCTTGGGGGGAGGCATTTTTCAATTCCGCCACCTTCCGCCACCCTTCCGCCGGCTTCCGCCCGCGGAGGCGGCCTTGTTTTACTTTCGCCGCAAGCAAACGCGGCCGTCACGATCTTTTCGTTGCGCCCATAGCTGAGGGCCCCCCAGCCGCCCTGACGGAGAAAACAGGAGAGAAAAGGGCGGATGATTGTGGGCAAAATTTGTTGTCATATCTCCTGCGTCGTGTTCCGGTATCACTCTGGAGCGGATATGGATCATAATCTGCCCCTTGAGGCTAAGTTCTGCAGCAGTGGCGCAGTGGATATACATACGACTCTGTCCCTAGAGGCCAGATTCGTATCCCTCTCCACTGCGCCTGGGCCCTTGGGCGCCCCTTCCCACAAAGTCCAAAAGACGCAGTGGATATGGACATGGATCGCAGTATTGCCTGCAGTGGTGAGCGGGTACATCAAGGCCAAAAGGCACACGAATACATACACACACATCCCGGGATTCTCAACATTCTCCCAGATGTGCTGGACTTTCTTATTCCGCACCACTTCCGATATTGACTCATCTTTTCCTGGAATGGTGGGCTTGTTTCCCACCGCCACCACCATAAGCAGGAGGTGGAGGGGGTCATCCTCGTCTTCCTCCTCCTCATCTTCCTCCTCCTCCTCCTCCTCCTCCTAGTCCTCCTCCTCCTCCTCCTCCTCCTCCTCCTCCTCCTCCACCTCCCCTCCTACCCTCCAACTTATGGTGATGGTGGTGGGAAACAGGCCCATCATGGAAGTCGACGACTCATTGTGCCTGTGTGTTTTTCTTGGGGCCCTCCCGAGCCGAGCGAGGAGACAAGGAAACGGCAGCGGCGGCGGCGGCGAGGGGAACCACTGGATAAGGAACCCAGGGTCTGGAAGCCCGCGGAACTCCAGTCGTGGAGTGGCCGTGGGTATCACCGCCGCCCTCATTGGATAAGGAATCCTCCAGGGTCTGGCGCCTCCTGGGACTATTCCTGAACAAACGCCTCCACCATACCAGACCACCCCAACCCAACCCAAAGAACCCAACCCACCCCAATCCAGAAGCGCAGGGCAAGTTGAAGCCTTCGGGTTGGGTTGGGGTGGTTTGGTGGGTGGTGACTGCTCCCACCGACCCAGCCTCCAGCTCCAGCTTCTGTACACCCCCTCCGCTGTCGGCTCCGCCCCTGCCGCCGGGGTGGCTCTCCTCTCGTCCGCTCTTTCGTTCTGTCTTCTGCCGCTTCGTGCAGTTTCGGTTTGTCCTCTGGCTCCCCCCCTCCGCTCCGGGAAACCAGCAACACTGCAAACAAAAACTCAGGAGCCGTTTTCCTCAGGACCCCACCCCTTCAAGCGACAGGTTGTTCTTTGTGCCGTCTGTGTGTTCTGTCGGTCAACGTTGTCGCGCACCCTGTAGCGCAGGTTGCCAGCTCGGCCATGCCCCCCGCCCCGCACCTCGGCCAGCTCCTGGCCGCCGCACCTCGGACATCCCCCCGGCCCCGCACCTCGGCCATCCTCCGAGCCGCTGCGACGTCTCGTCCCACATCGGCCCTCAAATTGCCTCGCCCAAACTGCCACGGCCCCCATGCTCCCAGATCATAAGATACCGATCTCCTTCGGTAACGACCGATCGGCACTCCAAATCGGTCGCGACCGATCGCGAATCGGTCGCGACCGGTCGCCATCGATCGCGGCCGATCGGTCGCGACCGCTTTTGAAGCAAATCGTCGCGACCGATGCCGAGAGCCGAAGCGACATCGGCAGCGACCGGTCGCGACCGGATCCTCCCGGCAGCAGATGTGAAGGGGCCCTGAGACACACAAATAAATACACACAAATAAAAAGGTCCCCCATATTTTCCCATATGTTCTGAGTTTTTGTCCTCCCCCCCAATTCCCATATTTTCCTATATTTTCTTTGGGATCGACGATAAATTGTGTCTGTGTTTTTTCCCCTCCTGAAGATGATCAGGGCGCTCGCCGCGAAGATGCAGACCCCCCCCCCCAGGGGGAGCGGCGGCGAGCCGCCAGAGGGGAGGGGCGGGGCCGCCAGGGGCAGCGGCGGGGCCGCCAGGGGGGGAGCGGCGGCGCCGCCGCTCCCCCCCTTGGGGGGGGGGGGGCGACGGGCCGTCCCCCCCTAAGGGGGGGGGGTCTGCGGCCCCTTCCGAGGTCGGCGGGCCCGCCAGGGACAGCGGGCGGCGGGGCGGGGCGGGGTCCGCGGCCAGCTGCGCGAGGGAGGCCAGCCGCGCCCAGACGGTGGGCGACTCGGAGCCCGCCTGCGGCGGGCGCGCACAGCCCCCCC